AGTATTTAATTGACTGTGATTGATATTCCTTTACATTTATGAGATGTATACAGATTGATTAACTCATCATTTGCCTGAAGTAGCATCCCCTCCAGTCATTCTGCCCCCATCCCACAGCATTCCACTGTACCCGCCACATGCTTTCCTAGTGCTGTACCTCAAATCTCACTCTGCCACCTTCCTGCTAAGCTTCAGGACTTTCCCAGTGCCTGTGAGCAGAACAGGGTAATGGAGCCTTGGGATATAGTCCAAGGAAGCCACAGTAACCACATTTATCTGAGTAGCAGTGTTTTATCTTAACAATTCATTCGTTTTTGCATTATTTTCCAGCCTGTGCTAATGTTACTACAAAAATGTTTTAAATTGTTTACCAGAAACCAAATTGATGCTCAAGAAGGGGTTCCAAATGATATTCTTTGACATACCTTAGTATACATTTTCCCATGTGAGAGACAGAAGTCCATAATATGAAGTCAAAATTGCTTAGCCTAAAGCCCTTCCATAACTCCTCTGGAGTCGAGGAATCCTTTTTTGTAAAGGGTAGTGTCTTCTCAGAATGGTATCTAACCCAGTCGAAAGTTCCATGGTAGTGCAAATTAAACTACTAAAAAAGAGAAACCAGCTGTATTTAGATTATTGTTTTGGTTCTTGATTAAAGTCAGCAGGGGTGTTTGGTGGACTATACCATTAGGACATAAACATGAGAAGTCTGAAGGCCACATTGGAGAGAGCTTCTTTGGGTTTAACAAAGGAGTCAAAAACGCACGCACTTTGTACGATTTCTTTAGAACCTGCCCCATATGTACTATTTCTATCAGTTTCCCATTGTGATTTATTAAACAAACAAATGTATATGGAGCACATATGTGCCAGACACTGTTTTAGGCACTGTGTATCGAACAGTAAATAGGATAGATGAGAGTCCTATTCTCTATTCCATGTCACAGGGAGGGGACAGATGAAAAACAAAGAAGAAAATTAATCATTTTCATATGCAGAATTAAAACAGTGATAAGATAGGCTGGGTGTTGTGACTCACGCCTGTAATCCCAACACTTTGGGAGGCCAAGGTGGGCGGATCGCTTGAGGTCAGGCATTCAAGACCATCCTGGCCAATGTGGCAAAACCTCGTCTCTACTAAAAATATAAAAATTAGCTGGTTGTGTTGGCGCGCCCCTATAGTTCCAGCTACTCAGAAGGCTGAGGTGGGAGAATCGCTTGAACCTGGGAGGCGGAAGTTGCATGAGAGGAGATGACATCATTGCACTCCAGCGTGGCCAACAGAATGAGACTCCATCACAAAAAAAAAAAAAAAAAAAAGAGAGAGTTACATGATAACTCTTAAATTGCGTGTCAGAAAAGGCAGCTGAGAGGAGTAGATCTAAAAATGTTTTAAATAAAAATGTATTATGGAACGAAACTCTTTTTAAATAAAAAAATTTTAGGATAATCTTACTCCGTGATCAATCTTGAAGGAAACAAGCAGGGAAAGCAGGAGGTGGTTTGCTATTAAAAAAAGAAAAGAAAAGAAAATGGCCCTAGGCTCTGTTGGCTTTTCCTAGCAGGGAATTGTGTCTGGCTCAGAACATTGTCTTTCATCAGCCGTTTTAGGATTTCAGATGCTCAGATATAACATGGGTTATTGTAAAGTAATTAGGCAGATTTTTTGAAAAGCATATAAGAGCGTATATAAAAATAATTTTTCTTCCCATGTCCCCTTTGGTAAGGGCTGTACACTTATTTAAATGATGCTGCCATTGTTCAAAATAGCTTTGGACCTTTGGATCTGTCTTTCAGAGTTTGCTTCCTAAGCCATTTAGAAGCTACTAGCAAAATCATTTTCTTTTAATTTTGTTATCTCTCCCTGTCCTCTTTGTGTTTAAGCTTTACTGATCTTAGGTTCCTTTTTGCTTGCTGCAGTGGGTCCCTAGGACCATTATGGTCCCAGGCTGTAGCTAAGAGAATGATAGGAAAACTGAGTTTGTGTATTAGCTGGGATCCAGTCAGGGGAGAGGAATCAGAGGGCAATTTAGACAGGAAAAGTGTAATATAATTATAATATAAGTTATGCCAGGAGATTGAGTAACAAGGGACTGGCTAGTAAGAAATAAAGATAACTCTAAAGAATATTGGCCAGGCATGGTGGCTCACACCTGTAATCCCAGCACTTTGGGAGGCCGAGTCAGGTGGATCATTTGAGGTTAGGAGTTCAACTACCAGCCTGGCCAACATGGTGTGAAACCCCGTCTCTACTAAAGGTACAAAAATAAGCTGAGTGGTAGTGGCGCGTGCCTGTAATTCCAGCTACTTAAGAGGCTGAGGCAGGAGAATCGCTTGAACCCAGGAGGTGGAGATTTCAGTGAGCCAAGATCATGCCACTGAACTCCAGTCTGGGTAACAGAGTGAGACTCTGTCTCAAAAGTAAAAAAAGAGGGAATTGATGAAGCCATTTATGGGAGGTGTCCCAACAGAAGCACTCTGCTACAAAACGGCTCAGGGTGAGGGAAGTACTGAGGAAACTGCTGGTCACTGGGTGCTGGGAGCATCATGCGTCCCAGGAGCCAAGTGCTGGAGAACAGGCGCCTGCCAAGTGAGCACACCAGAACAGAGAAGAGGAAACCCTTCCTCCTGTGCGCTCTCTTCAGTGCCCTTTCCTGACAAAGTTTAATGCTATGCCAGGTAGCAAAGGAAAAGTATTTTAAGGACACAGGTTCATTTTCACAGAGCAAGGGATTAATGGGTGAATTTGCACATGGAAGGCCATAAATGAATAATTGGCACAGTTTATAAAATACAGTTTTACATGATGCACTTAAGGAGTCAAACTAACATGCTTTTTGGAGCTACCTGCTTGCTATAACTAACATAAAAACTGATAACATCCTTAATGGAAAGAAAAGCTTGGTCAAATTGTCATTGCACCATAGCTCCAGAAGGAAAAAATAGTTCAAAATATGACTATGTGTGTATATACACATGTGAGATATCGATATATCTGAACCTAGAAATATAGATACAGGTATCTTTCTGACATAACGCTATTGGTATAAGGGTGCCAACACAACTTTCATGGGAAGACCTATCATTTTTTCTGATATTATATTCACTTTACTGTTTGGGTTTTCAAATGGCCATAATATTTTTAGCACCTTAGTGAAATAATGATTATATTTGAAGATAGATTTTGTTGTTGTGGCTGTTTGGTCTTAAAATGTTTCCTACTTGACAAAAAAAAAAAAAAAAAAAAAAGAGTTAATCCTGTGTCACTATCCCTGGTCTATGAAAATCAAATATGGAAACCATTATAGCCAACTAACAATGTATAAGTATAAATTGTGGCAAATCACTATAACCCTTTTGTGAAATATACAAGAAGTTGTTTTGCATTTAGAAACCAAAAACCAATTGTCACCTGATGCTCAACAACAAGGAGATATCAATTCATCAATGGAACTTAATAGCCAGGGTCATATACTGTATATTCTTTGTCTCTGCTTAAACTAACCATTCCCAGGCATCACTATCACTGTTTTTCAGATGACGAAAACCAGATGGAGTCAAATAATTGTTTTTCAAAATACTGTAGTTGGTAAATAGCAGAGCTGAGAGTTAAGTAGGAGTCTGAATGGCTCCAAAATGTTTCAGGATTTAAATAGACATCTGACTGCCTCCAAAAACCTTTCAATGTCTAGAGAAAGATAAAAACTGAAATAAGGGTTACAAAATGGGATTTTCGAAAAATAAAGACCAAAATATTATACACTTATATATTTTATTATATTTCCTAGAGAAAGGAAATGTAAAAAGAAACTTCATAACTTGTTTTCAAATGTATATATGAATATAATATATGTAAAATGAATATAATATATGTAAAACTCAGTAACTGTTTTCATTTCCACCAAAGCAAATATAAGTGCAGTATAGTATACCAAAGCAAGCAGAAAAGTCCCTATGAATTGTTAATACACATTGGTATATCAGGAAGGAATGTGCTTGTTGTAGATTTGAGGACAGTAGCTTAATCAAATATAGATTATATACATGGTAACCAGAAGTCCAGATATGGATAGTTGCTGTGATTGTTTCAGTAGCTCAGTATTAGAGCCAACCTTGGCCTTCCTCTCATAGTTACAGAATTGCTGCTACAGTTTCAGCTATCACATCTCCATTCAAGCAGGAAGGGCAAAGTGGTATGCCAGCTACCTATGACTCATTTCATCAGCTTTTCTCAAACATCCTCAACTGCTTTTGGTTTTGATCTCATTAACCAGTGCTTGGCCTAATGTCCTTCCACAAAGTTACAAGGGAATGTGGGGAAGCAGGGAATAACATTGTCATGATTGGCTTAGACCATGGGTCAGCGAAACTCTGTCCTGGGGGCCAAATTCAGCTCATACTTGTTGTAAATAAAATTTTGTTGGAACACCTCCATACCCCTTTATTTACACATTGTCTATGGCTCCTTTCATGTTACAATGGCAAAACTGAGTAGTTGCAACTGAGACCGTATAGCCTGCAAAGACTGAATATATTTACTCTCCAGCCTTTTACAGAAAAGTTTGCTGACCCCTGGATTAAACCAATCATGATCCTTTGCCTGGGGTGGACCATATGGACACTTTGGGGGTAGCTGGGCTGCCATTAAGCAAGGAAGAAAGGGGAGAAAGGATAGTGGAAAGAACCAACAATATATGTCTCACAGGTGGTCACCTGGTCCAATTAATTATATACAAGAACGAAAAGTGATCATATATTTTTGGTTTTAAGTCACAGAGTCTCTTTGAATATGTTTTTCTACTCCTTCTTTTCCTCAAGACCCAACTGAGACAATTTAGAAAGGCAGAAATTTTGCAAATACACAGTATCAAATTATTGACAGCGTTGTGACAGACAGTGAATTCATTTCTAGTTTTCTGACTTTTACTAAGATACTGTCAGAGAAGATCTGAAATCCATATTTTATTGATTGACACTTCCCTTTAAACTGTTTATTTTAGGTTCTTGCATACACTGAGGGACTTCACGGAAAATGGATGTTCAGCGAGATACGAGCTGTATTTTCAAGACGTTACCTTCTACAAAACACTGCTTTGGAAGTATTTATGGCAAACCGAAGTAAGTCCCCTTAAATATTTTGAAAGAAAATGTGCTCATATTTACGTATTATTCATTTACATGGTATGATAATGTCTTGATTTTTCCCACTGTATTTCTGATACGCTCTAGCTTAAACAAACATAAATTCTTTTTAAAAAATAAAAAAGAATGAATTTGTTTGAAATGTGAACCCATTTGTTTCTCATGGATAAAGTTATACTGAAAGCTGATTTTTCATGAAGATCTATTACCTTTACAAATAAATCATGATAGGCACTTGAAGATGACTTGTAAAATTGATGGCTAACTTTCCTGTGGTTTTCTAAACCCTGTTTTTTTCTTCTTACCACAGCCTCAGTTATGTTTAATTTCCCTGATCAAGCAACAGTAAAAAAAGTTGTCTATAGCTTGCCTCGGGTTGGAGTAGGGACCAGCTATGGTTTGCCACAAGCCAGGTAATTATATCATATTACATATTATCTATGGCTTGTTAACATATTTCAATCTCAATATTACAGCAATGTAAATGTGGTTATAACATTGTAATTATTTCAGAGACCAAAGAATTTTCTTTCTCTGAAGGTTATTTGTAGGGATAGAGATTATGAAAATAGCTATTTTGAGAATGACAGAATGGTTAGGGCAGATTTTTATTTAATACATATAAATAAGAAAGTAAAAAACTTGATTGCATATCATAGCTAGCATATAGTTAAGACATTCTTGCTTGTTAAAATCTTACAGGAAACAGCAAAAGCCTCAAGATCATAAATGATTAATTGCTATGTAATAGCATATAAATGTTTTTATAAATGCCATGTATAAATGCTTCTTCATTAAAGCAATAAAACCCTTAGAGTTTATTAAGTCTAATAGTCATTAATTATGGTATACTGGTAACCACATTTCCTAGATTTTCATCTTGGTATTTTAGAAGAATCATTTTGAAATCTTATATTATTAAAAGATACTAATGTAAGTAGAAAACGTAATCAGTAGTTATTCATATTGCTGATATCAGTTTGTCTGTTTTTGGCTCCAAATAACTGAATACCTGACTGAAAATAACTTAAACAATAGGGGTATTTTGGTGTGTGTGTGTGTTTAATATAAAAGATCTGGAGTTAAGGTGCTGCCGGTATTGGTTCAGAGGTTCAGTGATGTCAGAACTCTATTGGCTTTGTATTGGCAAAATCACCACTGCTTCTCCAGCTACTACATCTTCACACAACTGCATTACAGTAGGAAAAAGACACAAAGGATTTCTCTTCAAGCTTCTCTGTTTTAGGAAGGAATGTATTTCTCAGAAGCCTAGAGCAATCTTTATCTCAAGTCCCTTTGGCCAGAATACAGTCACCTTCCCATTCCTAAAACAATCACCGCCAGAGAGGTGTGAGTTCCGTTGGCTTAGCCCAGTCATTCCCTAGGTTTTATGGGAAAAGATGCCACTGATTCTTTGCCAGCTCTTGTTTTTTTTGTGTTTTTTTATTGAGGGGGGTTGGAGGGAGACGGAGTCTCGCTCTGTGGCCCAGTCTGGAGTGCAGTGGCACGATCTCGGCTCACTGCAAGCCCCGCCTCCCAGGTTCACGCCATTCTCCTGCCTCAGCCTCCTGAGTAGCTGGGACTACAGGCGCCGTCACCACCACACCTGGCTAATTTTTTTGTATTTTTAGTAGAGACGGGGTTTCACCGTGTTAGCCAGGGTGGTCTCGATCCCCTACCTCATGATCCGCCCGCCTCAGCCTCCCAAAGTGCTGGGATTACAGGCATGAGCCACTGCGCCCGGCCTTCTTTGCCAGCTCTTACATGAACAAAAGAAGATTTCTGTGGATGAGGAACAAAGGGAGATTGGCTTTAGGTAGATACCACAGTGTCTACCACATAGATTGTTATGTCCTTGAGAATTGTTGCACAGCACTGTATGGATGGAAAGGAAAACTAATCTTTGTCTATCCTCCCTTAAATAGGCTACAGACATTTGAAAGACAGGGACTGTGTTTGATTTATCCTTTGATCTACAGAACCTAACACAGTGCCTAATTGCAGCAGTGCGTTTAAAGTGCTATTCAGCTAGGGTTACGTTGTATTGCAACTTAATCTATTCTCTTTAAGCTTACAGTGTAAGACCAATTCACTGACATGTACACACATGCTCAAGATATTTGCTAGTAGAACGACAAGATTAAACTAAGATATTAGTAGATAATGAAGCACTTATATAAAATAGAGGTCAAAGAAAAATGCATTTCATCTATCAAAGAAAATGAGGTTAGTTCTGCAAGACTTGTTCTTATTGAATCTAAGCTGACTCATAATAATCATTACTTCCTTTCCCAAGTGCTTACATACTATTTGTTTAGTCATCAATTTAAGAATTTACTCAGGAATTGACATTAAGAACTTACGAATGGGTCTAACTTTTTCCTTTTTAAGAGTAATCTCCTGTCTTCTGGCATATTTCTCAATGATTCCTGAAAGATTACTAATAGAGGTTTCTATATGGCATGTATAATTTCCCTCAGTATTCTTTGACTTGTCTGGACCGGAATTCATTTAAAACAATCAGAAGCTCTTTTACTATATTTCTTACCTATTATGAGTATTGTTTCCCCTTTATCCACATTTGGTCTCTTTTTGACATTTGGAAGATCATTCTTTTTTTTTTTTTTTTTTGAGACAAGATCTCACTATGTCACCCAGGCTGGAGTGCAGTGGCATGATGTCAGCTCACCACAGCCTTGATGTCCCCAGACTCAGCAGATCTTCCCACCTCAGCTTCCCAAGTAGCTGGGAATACAGACATATGCCACCACACCCAGCTAATTTTTGTATTTTTTGTAGAGACGGGGTTTCACCATGTTGTCCAGGCTGGTCTCGAACTCCTGGACTCAAGCAATCCACCCACTTCAGCCTCCCAAAGTGCTGGGATTACAGGCAAGAGCCACCATGCCCAGCTGGAAGATCATTCTCTATAAGAAAACTGAAAACAAAAGAGCGGTTCAGTAGTTTTGGTCTCTCTGTAATTCATAATGCCATTCTATCTTTAAACATCATTTTGTTGTCCTTGGTTTGTTTTCCCCCTAAAAGCTCAACTAATTATTAGTTTCCTAATAATATTCTTACAGACTCAGTTTTATATACTTCCCTAGATATACATCCTTAGAAGTACCAAGTGGCAATGGGGAGACCCTGCATCTAGGCTTAAACCTGTCACTTAACTGGGTAACAATACGCAAGCCTCACACTTACTAGGAATTCAATAAATATTGGTTGAAAGAATGAATAACACTACTCAAGCAGAATGGCACTCTTATCTACCATAAAATGCGGAAAATATCTTTGCAAGAGATACTCTGCAAGAGATATTTTGCAAGATATCTTCGCAAGAGATATTTTGATAGTCTTTTGTGCTATGTACAAGACAATGCCTATTAAGATTCCATGTGAATACTCATGTTAATAATCCATGAGTAACAGAAATAGCCTTAAGTCTGTTCCCAAACTGAACACCAAGGCGTTCTGAGATATCACAGTGAATTCCCAGGGGTACTGCAGGGCATTTGTTAATTTTTTAGGGAAAAACAGCAACATTTGTCAGATACCACACAAAGTATTTGCTCGAGTTAGTTCCAAGTTTCAACTTAGAATGATTAGTTAGGGCTGCATTTTTTTCAGTGACACCTCTGAGAAACTGGTGTTTGGTGGCTACTGTTTTCAAAAACAAGAGCCACATGAAAAATCAGTGTGGAACAGGAAATGAATGTGATGGTGTCAGATCTGATTCCAAGGTTTCAGAAGTTGTGCAGTGTCCAACAGACATACACACCCCATTAGTAAATGTGGTTATTTAAGAATGAAATATAAATATTTCTCTTTAAGTTTATGAGTATTGTGTTTTCAAACAGCTACTCAGTTGTTGAGATGTTAAATATTTATTGAGTTGTTTAGAGCTAACTACTTAATAAACACAATTGTAAGATATTTCTCTTGGCCAAGGAGCACTATGAAAAATTATGGAGATACTAAGGGTGCCATGAATTGAAAAAGTTTGAGAACCCCTGTCAATCAGTTTAAAAACCCAATAGCTTTATCATACTTTTCTAAACAACGGCTTTCATTATTTTTAGATGAACATGTTGAACCTGGAAAGTTTCATAATTTGGACGAATTATCATGGTTTATTCCCTTAGGCTGTTCCTATGTCCCTTCTTCTGGACTCATGCATTTTTTCAAAGTTCCCGGTTGTTTATATTTTACACCATTGCAGGGATATTGTACAGGCAGATGCTGTGCGTGTGTGCACACTCTGTGTGTGAAGGCAAGTCTAAAATGTTCATTGACAGACATTAAGTCAAATGCATGTAAGCAGTTACCTGACTACCTGTCTACCTACCTCGTTGACATGGAGCAGATTTGCTGTATTGTTTAAAAACTACTTGATTTATCTTAAGTATAGTTTTACTTTTTTTTCTTGTTGATTTGTAAAATGCTCATTTGCAGCTATGATTTTACAAGTAAGGTTGCTTTCAAATTGTTTTATACTGAGTAATTAAGTGTATCTTCTCCATAATGGAATTCTCAAATATTGCTAATTTCTACAATTAAAATATATTTTCTAATTCATCTAAGAATGATAAACCATAAATTATTTTAAATTGATTACCAAACTAATATATTAGTTAATACTGGATTTTTTAAAATTAAGAATTAAAGAGACTATGTTTGTTATGCTACGCTTAATTGCTAGGAGGATATCATTGGCCACTCCTCGACAGCTTTATAAATCTTCCAATATGACTCAGCGCTGGCAAAGAAGGGAAATTTCAAACTTCGAATATTTGATGTTCCTTAATACGATTGCAGGTAAGATGTCTCATTCTTTAATCTAATAATGTGTTTATGTTCATCAAAATCATGGTAATGTAGCCTGATATAATACGTTTTTCTCTTTGGAATTCAAATGCAGCATTAGAGAAAATTTTGAAGCACTCACATTAAATTTTATCAGAAACTGTACAAGCTTATACCAAACTCTTAGATGCATTTATCGTTGAAGAGGCTTTTCCTTGCTCTCCTTCTGCCATTTCCTTTGCTGACAGCTTTGTCTGAAGGTTTATTAGAGTCAACAAACCATTGCCAGAGTGTCTGGAAATAATAATGGGAAAAGTAATTTCACTACTTTGTCATTCTCAGCAATAGCAGCTAGACAGGAGAATAACAACAGGTTTCTGCCTAGTACAGATGTCACCTGGATTATGGCATGATTAGGTTACAGCATCTTTTTTTCTTAAAATCTTCAAATAAAAATACAAAATCAGATTACATTTTCTAGATTATGAGTAACTGCCATCAACCTCCACAGTACCACGCTTGCAAATCAAAAGGAGGTAGTGGCTTTGTTTTCTGCTAAATCAGTGGTTGTCGGTGGTTAAACATGTCTATGAGATTTAAGTACTTCATCTTTTTTCTTAAGCTCCAAAAGCCCTTATTCATGATGAATTACAAAGAGTTTACTTCTATAAACCAGGCTCTACAAAAAGTTTTTGCAATTAGATGAATTTAAATAACCACATAAATAAAGATGCTTACCGTAATTATTGTTTTGTTATGAATGAATGTTCACAACCGTGTATTTAGAACAGTGTTCTTCTCTGAATCATTACTTTAAAAATATAACTATGTAATATTACTCTTTTTTAATCTATCATACATAAGTGTGACTATAGATACTATAGGTATATATTAAATATGGGTAAATAGATACATATTAAATAGACGAAACTTGATTTGTCCACAAAAGGGAATAAAGCTATTTGATATATTAAAATGCTTTTTCATTTTAATACCAATACATTCATGTATATATGTTCATATATACATGCATTTATTCATATGTATAGTATACACACATATATATCTTGAATAAACCTGTTTACTCCCTCAAAGATAAAAGAAATGTGTTGTACTATTAAGTTAGCATATTATTTATAAATAGAATGAATTTAAACATCTGAAATGTAAAGAACTTAATTTCATTAGCATATTTAAGTAAATAGCATGGTGTAGCAGAAAGAACGTAACTTTCAGCACCAAAGAGAAGAGAGATAGAATCCCAGATCTGCCAACTTTCTGTCCTGGAGCATAAGTTGAATTTTAACTTTTAACTCTATCTTGGACTTTTAATCTTTTAATATCAGTATTTAATATGTTTACATCTGTTGTAATAACTGGTATGTTTGGTCTTATATCATCTTGTTTTATACTATTTTTTAATGTTCTCTTGCTTTTTATGTTGTTTGTTCTCTGGCTATACGAATGCTTTTTTGCTCAGTGATATTGTGATTTAAAATATAAACACCTTGTTATTAATTCTCCTAGAGATATTACATTTTTAAAAGCCTTATAAACTATACTTTTCTTAATTTGAACTCAAAAATGAATTACCATTTTTAAATGATACGTGAGTAAGACAAAAACCTCAACTCAATTTTATTTCTCATTCATTGCTTATCTTTGCAAATATAAATTACTAGCCAGAATCCAGGTTATTATTAGCTTCATACTCTGGGTTCTCCGTCTTTTTGCAAATTAAGAAACATTTCAAACTATTGAAATTATGTGTTCATGCAGTGTATTATTTTCAGCTGTATGGATCTTTACCTGATTTTGGGGGATGATATTCTCTGTACGTTCTTGTGTAACATTTTTCCATATTCCCTGTATTAGGTTTTTGTATTATCTGCTCTTGAGAGACCTATCAAGACTTAGTATCATTAGACACTGTTAGATGGACTTACAAGTTTTTGTCCCTTGGCTGTGCTAGCTATTTGGAACTGTTCGATATAAAACTGGAGGGCAGGGTGATATACCTCACTTCCAGTTCAGTTTCCAATGTAGCAGGCAATCATATTAAATGGTTTTGCTATTCTAAAATAAGATTTTCTCCAGGCTCTGGATGGAATGTTTTCCAGTTCATTGTTGTAAAGGTCTCTTCTAGTCTCCATCCCTTCCCACTGCATTTTACTCATGTCAGGTCAATTTCCCACAGTGTGGTACAGTACCACCTAACTACTACCTACTTCATGCCTGTTACTCTCTGGGAGTCTCTTTATCTGTCCAACTCTGGAAAGGCTGCTGTGTCTAAATCTGGGTGAGATAACATTGTCATCCCTTCTAAAAGTTGCACCTGAGCAGTATAGAGCCTAATATGCTTTTTTCTATTTGGGGCAATCTTTGGGTTTCTGAGCCAGAGCATGCAGACTGTCATGGGAATTAAAAAGCAACTTTCTATTCTTTTTTGAATCATTGAAGTCTGTTTTATTTATAACATGAAGATTATATAGGCCACTGATTTTTTCAAAACTTGCTGGGTACTTCCTTTGCAATTATTATAACTAAACATGAAAGCCTCACTATTGTAAGCAATGGGATAAAAATTAACAATAGGGACTAGGAGCACAGAACACTTACAGTCTAGATGAATTAGTGAAATACACATAAATAAGACATTTTAGGACGGCTGATAGTAAATGCTGAGTCATTGCTACAGTGAATGCTGCATGAGCTCAGCAGAGGGGAGGTATTTTAAAATGTGTTTGGGGAGAAAAAAAGAGAAGAGCTTCACAAATTTCTGCCAGTTGTATATATATGGTGTGTTCAGTGGACAGAATTATCATACCTTGTCTGGAGTAGAGAATTATATATAATATTGGAGCCTTAGAGAAGAGCCAGATTTATAAAGAGGTTTTTAGGAGTCAGTATAGTTTTGGAGTAGAAGGGAATGCGATGTGGAGCTTTAGGAAAATTAAACTGATAATTATGTATGGCATAAATCAAAATTGAGATTCCTTGGCATTAGTGCTATAAGGAGAGTATTACAGTAGTAATAGTAAATCGTTACTGAATATTTACTATGTACCACATATTCTAATTTTCTCTGACTACAGAAGCAAGTAAAGTATGGTTTCTGCCTTTAAAAAGACGTAATATAGTGAAGAAACAGATGTATACCAGTAATTCCACTAAAAAGTATTAGAATGAGGAAACAGATATGTATACCAGTAATTCCATTAAAATGTATTAGAATATATAAAATTGTGTGCAATTTTATAATGTATAAAAAGTATTATAATGGGAGTATATGTGAAGCCATTTGCAGTAGTCAAATCTAGAAGCCATTATTTATAACTAAGAGATCAGAAAAAGCTTCCCATAGGTGACATTTAAATTGGGAATTGAAATATGGTTAAGAATTCACTAGGAAGTAGGCAGAGGGCATTCCAAGAAGAAAATGTGAGGTGAAGATTTTGGATGAGTATAGTGGCAGCAGGTATGGCAAAAAGAGAGTAAATGACACTTTGTATGATATCATTATACAAAAAAGTTTCACTGTAATTTGCTGTAGTTCAGTGGTTATCAAAATGTAGTCCCCTGACCAGCATTATTACCTTGGAGACCTGTTAGAGATGCTGATCCTCAGACTCCTCAAACCTAGTGAATCAGAAGCTGGCAACCTGCCTTTCAGCAAGCCCTCCAGTTGGTTCTGATACAAAAAGTTTGAGCACAATTGCATTAGCCATTTAAGATCTAATTATCAGGACAAGATTTGCATATAAAACGTTTAAAACATACAAGAAAGTACAGGATTAAGTGCCATTCAGTGTAGTACAAGTTTAGAGAAGTGAGAGATTAATATGAAATAGTCTACTCGAGGAAACCTTCTTGGAAAAGATGAGCTTTAAATGAACTCTTCAAGGATTTTGTCAGATGTGGATGACTATCCAGGCAAAATAAACCTTAATAAGTAGAATGACAATTGAAAAAAATTATGAATATGGATATCCTGAGGTACTCTCCCTGGATATATTCCTATTAATTTAATTCTTCCTGTGCCATCATCCTGAAACTAAATAGGAATGCCAGTTTAAACTGAGCACCAGCATTAAAGACATGGGTGATGGTTTTATTAGAGAAGCTTCACTAATGCCGTGATTGAATACTTGTTAGTGCAGCAATTAGATTTGCCTGTTTTCCTGATTGGTGGACAGTGTGTATCCATTCATCTCTTATTATCAAATCACCCTTCAGAGTTCTCTTATGATCCTAAAATAAAGGATGCTCTAAAGATGTTAAGTTGTACCAGTATCACTTCAACGAACATGGGTCCTAAAATAATCATACTAGTTTATAACACTGTTTTAGGGATACAGTTATTGTTCAGGAAATATTTATTTCATTTGATTGATCGAAACTTAAGATTTATTGTTTCTAGATAGGATGTTAGTCTTCTTTTTGACGAACTGTAATTCTTAGGTAATCTAAAGCCAAGAAATGGTTGGCTTATATTTTGTCATAATATTTTTAAACATTTTTATTTGATATCAAGATTGAGAAAAAATAATAGTATTTTTATTATGTCTTTGTTTTGTTTCATTTTTCCTACTGAAACATTTCTTTGTTAATAATAAGAACTCAGAAAACATGGAAAGTAAGTTTATGATTATTCAGTGATTTATAATGTGCCAAACATTGTTCTAAGGTCTTTATATGTATTTGCTCATCTAATCCTCACAATAGCCCCATGAGTTAGGTTCTGTTCTTATCCCTATTTTACAAAGAGATGAGGTAGAGAGTAGCTAAATAACTTGGCCCAAGGCATAGGGCTAATAATGACAAAGTCAGGATTCAAACCTGGGCAGTTTAGCTCCAGAGTTTTCATTCAGTTACTACGGCATACTGTTCCAGGATATTCCTGGTACCATACAACTTCACCTTCAGTCACCAGCCTTAACTTATTAACTGCTTTTAAAACCTAAATAATTAATGATTTAAAACAATTTTGTCATTTTCTTTTACATTTCATC